TCCAGGATGCCGTGACAAGGAGATTAAAGTAAGTAGCAACCAACCCTTAATTTCTGTTTTATTATCTTGTTGGCTACCAAATCTAAACAGAACAAATAAGAAAACAAAAACAGTAAAGAAATAGAAAAAGACCACTAGAATGGGCCACCAAAAAGCCGATAGACCAATCAAGGTGGTCAACAGACAAAGGAGCACGAAGGTTGACTCCACCATGCTTGAGAAGCAGGAGGGCTTCCAAGCCCTAAAAACTCGTGAAGCTGAAAGGCTTCCAAGCACCAAAAAAGGCTGGAACTTTGGGAGGGTTTAGTTAGAAGCATGAGGTTTTTAGAATAGAGAGAGAAAGAAAAAGAAGACCATTATATAACAGGTTCCAACATCTTGTTAACACGACAACTTCATGAAACTTTGCTACTTAATCAAAAATGGAGAAATTTCCACTTGAACCTTTAAACTTCTAAATTTGATCTTTAGACCCTCATCATTTTGGCCTTTTTCATTTAAGTTCTTTTCTTCTAATTCTCCATTTAGTTATCAAACCCTCAATCACCAAAAATTTGCACAATATGAATAGAATGAACACTATTAAAATTACTTATAGAAAAATACAACTTTTAAACCCATAATTCCACAAATATTAATTATTAAACACATTTTGAATATACATTTTCATATTTTCATCAACTGTCTAATTAAAATGATTCAAGTGCCACTGATAATGAAATTAATTATAGTTTTTATGTATTTTTTTATTAATTAATATTTAAAAAATATAATAATTATATAATTAACTTGTGTTGTAACCCTTAAGTTAGAAAAATCCATTATTAATTAATAATTAACAAAGTAACCACACTCACAATAAAGGCCAAACCCCCAAATTTGTCACTCAAGTCTGGAGGCAAGGATAGATTCAACTAATTAGGACAAATTGCTTCATTAACTAATTAAGTTGGACAAATGACCACAAATTTAATTGCTGTCATCATATGACAATAGCTTCTTATTACTTTTTGGTGTTGTGACATTTTTATCTATGCTAACAATAATAGAAAGGTGAAGTCATATGATAATATTAGCAGTTAAATTTAGGATAATTTGTTCAGTTTATTTAATTAGAGGGGTGACTTGTTCTTTCATTTAGTTTGAGGGTGAATCAATCCTTATCTACATACCTAGAGGGTAGAGTTGGGGTTTCAACCCATAATAAAAGAGTGTGGTTACCACCGCACATTATACTGTTAAAAGCCACACAAATTTTGCCCTTTTTTTTTTTTCTATAAATAGTTAATTATAGAATTTGAAAATATTAGTAATATAGAATAATTTTAATCTATTAAATAATAAATATTTGTTATTTTATAATTTATTAATTAATAATCACAATTATTAGTTATTTTTAATAATTAAATCAAACAAAAACAGTATTTTAAAATATCATATTAAAAAATTTATGTGATCATAATCTTACCTATAATAAAAGGGAATGGTTATGGCACCAAAAAAATTGTTGGGACTACACAAACATTTTTTCCTTTGTAAGTAGTTAGTTATAGTGTTTAAAAATGTCAATATATAAATTAATTTTAATCTATTAAATAATGAATACTAATTATTTTGTTATTTATCAATTAATTGTTACAATTATTAACTATTTTTAACCATCAAAGTAAATAAAATTCATATTTTATAAGACAAAACTTAAAATTTTGTGTTATAATGTGGTTATTGCCACTAAAAAAAAATGTTGAAACTACTAAAATTTTAGTTTTTTTTTCTTCAATAGGGTACAAAAATATTAGTTTGTTGGTTGATTTTAATTTGTTAACTAATAATTACTAATTGTTCTAATAATTATTAGTTATTTTTATTAATTAAATTAAACAAAATCAATATGTTTAAATATACTATTTTATAATTTTAGTAATCCTAACATTTTTATTTATGGTCATAATTGTGTCTTTTGTATCACATCCAACAATTTATTAGGTAAGATAACCATTCTCATGCTAAAAATTTCAAAGGATAAATGTTAATTTTAATCCCAAATTTTTAATTTTTGAAAATTTTTTAATTTTTTTATTCTTAAGCTCCAAAAAATATATTTTTTTAGTTTTTTATCAATTAATTTCTTAAATTTATTTAAATATAAATATTTTTAATCTGTAAATTTATATCATATGCATATTTTTATACTCTAAATTTATAAATTCAAAAATTCAAAAATATATATTTAAATAAATTTAACAAATAAATTAATAAAAAATAAAATATTTTAAATTAAAAATTTAAATACTAAAATTAACATTTAACCAATCTTCAAAGAGAAGCATCGCCATGTTTTCCGAAAAGAACGAGACAGAAGTCTTGTCAGAATCAGATGCATGGACCATATTACCACTGCCCATCAATTTAATGATTGTCTGATGGTCACAC